CGCTTGGTGGCCTCAGCGTGGACGTCGGTGGTTCCGTCGATTCTCGCTGTACATGACTCCGAAGCAGCGGAGATCTCCTGCAGCACCTGAGCTGGGCATTCGATGAGGGCGTTGTCGATGATGGCAGGCAATTTGGGAAGGTCGCTGATGGGCGCGCTCAGCTTTAGGATCGCCACGTGGTCGATCTCCTTTGCGGGCAGTGGTGGCGTTCGGAATGTGCCCGCCAATGCTGATCGGAGTGCGATGTCCCTTTGATGGCAAATCTATACTGGCACTCGCTGTCCTCTGAGGTCCGTCTCGTCGCAATGTAGTCCACCGGTTGTCTGTGGAGTAATGTGGTGGTGATCGATCGGGAGGATGTAACTGTCCGCATATGGATGCAGTGCCCCTCCTGCGCGGGCTTCCACGGTGTCTCTTGCATATGCGGCTAGTGTGCCAATCTCGGAGGCAGGGTGCAAGGTGCCGCATATGTCGGTGGTCGCCACGATGTAAACCTTCGGACTGCATCGCTCGTTGTTGCTGCGGATGGCTTTGCGTTGAACATCTTCAAAGTTGTGGCGCGTGTCCACGCCCATCTTGTTGAAGATGCATCGGGCCTGAAGGTTCGCGAAAGGCTCGTCGTCCTTGCTATTCCACGGTGGTGTTTGTACCAGTGTTGGGTCAGAACTTGCCAGCTTTTGGACGTCGTGCCACTCCAAATGGTGGACGGGTGTCTTCTTGGGGTCGCCGTCGTTAGAGGCGTCTTCTGGCGCGCGATACTTTGTGGCGGAGCGGTAATGCGGGCAGTTATCAGGCTGGTCCATCCAAAGGTCTGCGTCGGTCCACATCTCGATGTTGGACCATGAAGTTGTCAGAAACGGCGGCACAGCTCTTCTTGACCTTGTCCTCCCAGCACCCCCCGGCTGCGGCGATGCAGGCGATGGCGACGCGGTGCCGATAGTTGGCGCGCACGAAACCGCCCTGGACCGCCGCGGGGGCGTAGATGCAACCAGGTCGAGGTAGACGTAAGTGTAGTTGCGCGTGAGGGTGTCAGACGCGTTGGCTCCTTGCGATGGCCTGACAATGCCTGTGCGAGCGGTAACTCCTTGTGGTTCTGCTCTGGGATCTCCAGGAGCGTAGATGAGCGCCGTCTTGTTGTCGTGGCCCTTGCTGCAGGGCATAAGTGTGGGCATTCCTTCTTGTTGGTACTCTGGCGGAGCCTCGTTCCATGTCTTGCGTGGAGCTGCGCTGATAGCTGCAACTCGTTGTTGGCTGGCGTACTCGATGTCCTTAACTCCGTTGGTTCAGTGGATCATGACCTGGTTGAAGTCGATGAACTTCGGTAGCTTGCCAAAGACGTCGAGCGGTATCCTGATGTATTCGCCTTGACCTTGTTGAGGTATAGTAAGCTGCTGATGCTGTATATGCCGAAGAGGCTTCCTGGCGCACTGCGCTCGGCAATGGGCGCGCCAGGGGCACGCTGGTCAGCTGCGGCTTAGCTCTTGAGCCGACGCTGCACTGCGGCTAGTGATGTGTCAGCTGTTGTTCTCAAATGATGTGCGGGTGATGTGCTGGGGGGTACCGTCTTTTCTACAGGGTGAGCGATCGGGTGCCACGGTGAGGCCTGCCAGAACCACTGCTGAGTAAGCTGCCCGTATCCTGAGCAATGGACCGCCGTTAACCGCAGCGCGGGGTGGCCACCACCCGTCGTCATCCTGGCGTGCTCCAGTGCCCCGTAAGGTACTTGGTCGCGTGGTATTGTTGCTGCGTTAGACGTAGTAGTACGGGCCCAGCGGGATGTAGAACTTCAAAACGTCGCCTTCCATGTCCCAGTTTTCGCAGTCTCGTTGCTGTGTCCATCGGCGGCGGATAGCGTTCATGATGGCACGAGCCAGTAGTCTGCACATCTCCGTGGTGTGGGTCCTGGTGGTATCTCTTTCCCCAGAGCTGGCGTGGCTCCGCCCAGTTGAATGGTAGTGGCAGCCTGTGCTGTGTTTGCATCTTCCGCGGTTGGGTAGTAGTGCGATCGTCCGTCGTATTCTGGTACATGTATTGTGAGTAGTGTAGTCGGTCTCACGGCTGTCTGTCCACTCGTGCTTTGTTCGAAAGTGATAAGGTCCACCCCGCCGATACCGATCAGGTGTGTCATTTCTGGTAGTCGCCAGCAGCTTGCTGTATCTTTCCCATCGTTGACTGTGGCGGGCTGCTCTATGATCATGGGGACCTTCCTGCCGATGCATATGTATGTCAAGAGAAGAGTTGTACACACTAGCTTGTTGTCGCAATATAGTTGTTCGAACTGCAGAAACAGGTGCTGTAGTCTCCAAGGTTGTTGTCGGTTCCTCTGAGGTCGTGCGTGGTACCCGCTCCATGTCTCGCATATTGGTCCAGCTATAATCGCGCCCACACGGCCGCGCAATTGTTGGTCTCTCCAGAACTTTATGGTGTCTCATTTCGTGAGGCCCCCCTTGGTCTCATCGTGGGTGATGTCGATGGAAAGTAGTATGATGTTGTTGTCGTTGGGGCTGAAGTATTCTATCCACTGTTGCACGTCACCATTGCGTCTGTGCCCGCTGCAGATGTGTAGGATGACCTGTCTCGAAGTACCTGTAGGTTTTGGTTCTGGCGTCGGGTCAGGTCTTGGTTCCAACGGTGCTGTAGCAGGTATGGGTATCTCTCTTGTAGCCTCGTGGTCCTTGACGTCCTCCTCTCAAAAATTGACCCCCAGATCGGTCCTGCGGTGCGCTTTGATCGGGAACCCGTGGCGACGAGAGGTCTCCTGGAGGCCCAACTTAAGAACAAGTTACGCCCTAACAAAACATGAGCCCGCGAGGCTTGACCCCTCCTCCTCCTCCTCCTCCTCCTCCTCCTCCTCCTCCTCCTCCTCCTCCTCCTCATGGGTCTCGTTGTGCGGGTTCTCTAATGGCCTTCGCTCTTGCAACCAACTCCTTCTCATAGCACCACCAGACGTGTCGGCAGGGCGGTCCCGGCATCTCGCCTCAGACTTCCTTCCCGTGGAGGACCCCGCCGCTTCAAGTTCTCAAGAACCACATGGATGGAGGGCGGGCCATCTCAATAGCCGTAGCGGCGCGCACACTCGTTTTCAAAAACTTCCATCAGCTACGAAGAAGGAGCGCGCAAATATTTCTCAAATACGGCAATGACCTCAGCGCCGCGCCGTTCCTCCCACGAGCTGCGAGCATTGACGAGGATGGAGCGCATTGAGGGATGAAAACATGGCCATACCCTGGGTTGCAAGTGCGCGGTCTGCAAACCTCCTGGGACCCCCCAGAGCCTAGAGCCGCCAGGACGCGGCACACATCACGCAGGGCTTGCCCTGTCAGCCCGCAGGAGTTCCAGCGCACAGCGCCTCGTAAACCAGGGCAGGGGCGTCTTTTTCTGCCCTGGAGCGCAGTCCCTCTTCCCACTGAGAATGTCGCTCAATCGGCTACTCGCAAGAGTGACCCTGGGTAAGAGTGACCTTTGGTGCGCGGCTTTCTGGGGGCCGCGGGGTGACCAACCACACAAGCGCGCAAGACGCTGCTATCGCATCGCGTTCGACGATCGGGGGACTCCAATGGGCCCGCACCAAAGGTCACTCCGGCGAAGGGTCACTCTTACGTGTAGTCGGCTCAAGACGCCCTCGCACCTTCCGGCCCTGGAGGCGGCCTCGCACAAGAGCCAACTACAACGAGGGAGGGCGGGACACAGCCCCTCTTCCCACTGAGCGCAGCCCCTCTTCCCACTGAGAATGTCGCTCAAGACGCCCTCGCACCTTCCGGCCCCGGAGGCGGCCTCGCACAGGAGCCAATTACAACGAGGGAGGGCGGGACACAGGGCGGCCCCTCGTCGGCGCGGGGCTCTCGCAGGGATACTGGGCAACGCGCAGAGGGGGGTAATTAGGGGGACGGGGGAAGGCGTCTTAGAAGCACCCCTGCTTCTCAGAAGGCGCGGGCCTTCTCGGTAGACGTAAGGCCGAGGCCTTCAAAGAAGCAGGGTGCTTCTAAGAAGCCTTCCCCCCTCCCCCTACCCCCCTTTGCGCGCCGCCAAGATACCTCCGCAGCACGTCGTTGTAATTAGCTATTGTGCGAGGGCGGCTCCTCGTCAGCGCGGGGCTCTCGCACGGATACTTACCAGCCTGGAACATATCCCTATCCCTGTGCTGGGCACCTCTCCTCATCACGATGCCCATCTTAGGGATGCCCTTATTTTTTTTGGAGGGCGCATCCCTACGATTGTCATCGCCTTGTGGCGTGCCAATCTCGGGGATAGGGATACGTCCGAGGCTGGCAAGACACCTCCTCCGCAGCACGTCCGAGGGCCAGAACGCCACCGTGCGGGACGGAGCTGCACGGACGGAGGGCAGCCCCTCGCCGAGGCCAGGCCCTCGCCGACCGGGGCCCTTCCTTGCCTTCCTGGTCTGAAGTCGGGCCTGTCCCCCTACAGGGGGATGTTCGACGAAGAATATACAAGCAAAAAAAACCAAAGACATGCTCCAAAATGATCAAAAAATATGTTAAAGAGAATCCCCAGACTAGTTTTTGACTATTTTTGAATTTTCCTCCTGTAGAGGGACAGGCCCGACTTAATCCTGGACACACACCGCTCCTCGGCGAAAACTCCGCCTCTGGACCGGGCGGGCGAGGAGCGCCCGCCGGGACTTGCGCGGAGGGGGCCTCGGGATCCCGAAGGGCGTATACGCCGGGCCTCCCCCTCCCCGGAGGGCCTCCGGGGGTCTCCGGGGACCTCCACGGCCCCTGCGACGAACGAACAACACACACCCATACCCACAGGGGGGTCGTCGGGAGGAGGACTGGTTGTGGGTATGGGTGCGGGTTGTCGGACCCTGGGGAACGCTCCCGTTCGAGCGGGGGCCCCCATCCGACAACACGCGCCCATAGCCCTCTCCGATCCCCCCTATGGGTATGGGTGTGTGTTGTTGGTTCGTCACCCTGGGGGTCCCCGGAAGCCCCGGGAGGCCCTCCGAAGGCCTCCGAAGGCCTACCCCACCCCCCCCGCTCCGTCTTGCACAGCGCGAGCACGCCGGGCACGCTGCCGGGCGGCAGGTCCGCCAGCGCCTGCGCAAACTGGGGCAGCGCGGCCGGCAGGCTATCGGCCGAGAGCTCGCCCTCGCGGAAGGCCTGCCGGACGGGGGGCGCCCAGGCCTGCCGAGGGTTGCCATCGATCGGCGTCGCGCCGAGGGGGCAGGCCTCCTCAGAAGGCGGCGGTGCTTCGCAGAAGCCCTCGGGTCTTCTGAGAAGCCCTCTGCGGCTGCGAGCAAGGCTCAGGAGAAGGCCCGCCCCCTCTGCCCTCCCTCCTGTCGGGTCGGGCGAAAGGGGGGGATAGCAAAGGGGGGGGTGAAAATCAGCTCACGTAGCTGATTTCCCCGGCGCCTCCCGGCGCCGGAGGCGGCTATGTATCGAGGAATGGGCCCCTCGGTGAGGCCGAAACCAGCTGCATGCAGCAAATTTCGTAACCACCCCTTTCTCGATCCCCCCCTTTCGCCCGGCCCGATCCTGGGCGCGCCGCCGAGTCGAGGAGCGACGATGAACTTCGCTGCGATTGAGCAGTACGTTCTGCCGCGAGTGCACCGTCCGAGTTCGACGGCGTGCGGAGCCCTGCTGCGAAGTCGTGGCGTGGCGGGCCCCACGTGCAGTGCATGGCCGGCCGGCTCAAGGGTCGCGCACCGTGGTCCACACGTCTGCACGCGCGAGCCTACAGTCGGGGCGTTGACCTAAGGAACCCTAAATAAGGAACGAGGCCCCTTTTCTCAAGAAGTTAAACGTCGATTTCCTATCGAAAACATAAGGGAAACCTGAGGCAAGCTGTGAAACACTTAAGGAACGCGGAGCCCCTCCCCAACCAAAAGGGTTCCTTCTTCAGGGCCCCGACTGTATTCCAAAGAGGGCACGTCTCCCGCCCTCTCGCTGACAGACGCAGACTCTCACTGGCAGCATGACGAACCGACACTGCGCTGACTATGCGCCGCACGTGTACCTGGTACATCGATGGGCCTCGCCCACTCCGGCCGCCTGAGGCCCCGCCTCCCTGTGCCCTGTCTCCCCAATGAAAGCTGTGCGTAGCCCGCCTAGCTTTTGGAAGAAGAGGTTCGCTCTCGCCCCGCAGATCAAAAATGTGCGGTGCGACGTATCAGGGAGGCCCTGCGACTCGCTGGAATATGGCATTGCGCGGCGAAGCCGCCCCGCTCTGGACATGACGGAGCTAGCCGCTCAGCGCACACGCACAAGCTCGTTGTTCTCTGCTGCGGCGCCGGTGCAAGTGGCACTACTGTCACGTGGCACGGGGAAGGCAGGCACTCCCCGTGGCGAGCAGGTGCGCGGCACGAGACGACGGACCCATACTTCCCGGCCAGCACTCACAGGAGCCGCACCAGGCGCAGCGCAGATGCTCTAGATCACCGCTGTCGTATACGCGCAGTACGACAATGTCATACGCACCAGGCACACTCGAAGCCGAGGAAAGGACGAGGAGAGAGAGGAAGAGAGAGGGGACGGGGACAGGAAGAGAGAGGGGAGAGGAAAGGATGAGGAGAGGAAGGGAGGAGAGGAAAGGATGATGAGAGGAAGAGAGGAGAGGAAAGGATGGGGAGAGGAAGAGAGGAGAGAGGAAAGGATGGGGAGGGGAAAGGACGAGGAGAGAGGAGAGGAAGAGAGAGGAGGGAGGCGGGAGGCGGGGACGGGCCCGAACCACGAATCCGAGCACGCGCGTGGCATCGAGATGCAACCCAGAGGAGCGGTAGATGCACCCCTGGCAATAAAAAACAGGTAAACGGCTGGCGCCGAGGCGAGATCAGGATTTCCAGGCAACGTGCAACGAAGTCTCAGGCGGGAAGGCCGTGCCGCAGCAAGTGTTGAGGCCATCTCCAGCGAGAGACGGCAAAGGAGGGTGAGTAGGAGAACCAGTAGGATGAAGAGGGGCGAGGAAAACCAGGAGGATGAAGAGTACCAGGAACACGTGGAGGAGGAGGAGGAAGAGAAAGGAGGAGGGATAATAAGAAAGATGAGGGAGAAGAACAGGAGAAGAGGGAAAGGAGTACGTCGGAGGTGGAGTGGGAGGGGTAAGGGCGAGAAAGAGGATGCTGTGGAGGAGGACGACGACAACAACTTTGACGAATGCGAAGACGATGGCGGCAATGGTGACGACGAGGGTGTAAGCCGATCAGGGGCAGGAGAACCACGATGACTCGGAAGACGCGCGAGCAGTATGTGGAGCCATATCCTGGCTTTCAAAACGCTGTCTGCGTTACTTGATCATGCAGTTTGGGGCCTCGTGCCGCCAGGGTATACTTTCTCGCGGCGAAGGCGGCGCGGCACGGCAGGCCGCGACGCGCGCCGCTCCGGCCGGCTCTGGAAACCCTTGCGGGTTGGGTCGCGCGCGGGTTCTCCCCCACCATGCAGTGGAAACCGCACATAAGCCCGACGCCTAAAAATCCAATGTCTGGAACCCCGGCTACAGCTCAAACATCAGACAACTCTGCAGTCAAATCAACCCCAGCAGGGGCGCCCGATACCCCAGCGTCAAGCGGCCCCCCAGGTTGACAACGGCGGGGGGGTCTGTGCTGTATGGGCCCTGGGAGAATCGGTGAAGGGAGGGGGCACATGCAAATCCCCTCAAGATCCGCCCCCAGACCCCTCTCCTGGACCCCCTCCGGGGTCCGAGCTGGCAAGGTTTCTCTGGGCCTCGTCCAGCTGCGGCGACGAGGGGTGCCCGATCTCCCCCCCCCCTTCCTGCAGGGCCAGAACCAAGGCTGGGCCACCTCTGGGGCCTCCCGCCGGCTCCAGCCCTCAGGGGTGCCATTGGCCAGCAGCGCTTGCTGGCCCGCCCGCCTTTTTTTTTCTCTCCCTGCACACACACAGAGGAGGTGCCCAAAGAAAAAGCCGGTCTTGAATAACATTTCCGCGGCGCAAGCTCAGGAAAAACAATGGCACTGAACAACTCATCGGCGCGTCAGCGCGCAACGAAGATGTCCCGAAACTCGGCCCTCCTCGTCTGCTGGCCCGCCCGCCGTGCAGTCCGCGCCCCCCTCGCCATCGCTCGGACGTCCATTCCCTGTGTTTTTTTTGTTGGTTTCGTGCGTGGCTTTCTCGCCAAATGATCAAGGATGCTCCTCGATGGCCCTCGCCGAAGGAAAAAAATGCACACGTCCGAGCGATGCCAGCAGCGCCTGCCGGCCCGCCCGCCGTGCAGCCCGCGCCCCCCCCGCGGCCGCCTCCAGCGGCTCGATGAGCGGGAAGAGCGCGGGCTCGGCCGCGCCCTCGACCACGCGCAGGCCGGCGGCGGCCAGCCTGCCGACCCGCGCGGGGCGGAGGGCGCCCGCCACGCGATGCCTCTCCCTCGGGGGCAGAGGGCGCTCGAGACCTTTGCGCCTGGCTCCTGCTCCTGCTCCTGCTCCTGCTCCTGCTCCTCCTCCTCCTCCTCCTCCTCCTCCTCCTCCTCCTCCTCCTCCTTTTCCTCCTCCTCCTCCTCCTCCTCCTCCGCCTCCTCCTCCTCCTCTTCCTCCTCCTCCTCCTCCTTTTCCTCCTCCTCCTCCTCGGACACAGATTGACGAACAGCTGGGTTAGTGCGACGCACACGCAATCTTCTTAGCCCATGAGTCGGCCAGTTCATTCCCAGCCAGGATCTTGGGCGAAATGGCGGCACGCATGCTTGGGGGGGGTTGGGCCTTGATTTTAACAAACTTCGCGCCGAGCGGGCCCAACCCACCCCAGTCGTCAACCTTCTGCCACGCAGCCTCCCAAATGTCAGCGCGCGCACTGGCGAGATCAGTGGTTGCCGCTGGTCCCCGGAGGATGCCAGAGACAACTGAACCCGAGTCACTGTGCACAGTAACGGGCGGCTCAGCTACTTGCAGCGCGCGAAGGACTGCGACCAGCTCGGCACGATCGACGCACCGAATCGGCCCTTCGACTCCACCTCCAAAAACCGCCAGCGGCCGGAAATCACGCACACGACGATTGTGCGGCGCGCCAGGGCAGAGGGCCACAACGGCCCATGCGGCGACAGCCGCGCATGTAATACGTTTGTCCTGCGGCGAGCTGTCCACGCACAGATCTCCTGCGAGGTGGTGCCTCCCACCTGGGAGCATTTGCTCCGACGCGGCCTCGGGCAGGGCTGGGGGGGCGGCCCCGGGGCGCCAAACGACGACTGCCAACCGACGAAACAAGAGCAGTGGGTTCAGCAGGGAGGGCGCGCTTCAGGGTTCCCTCGGGCTGCAAATCCGCCGAAACGAGACTACAGTCATCGGCCTGACCTAAGGAACGATGAATAAGGAACGAAGCCCGTTTCTTCCAAGGAATAACGCATAGGGAACGATTAACAAATAATATATAACGCATAAGGAACAATACATGACGCATGCAAGCCTAAGGAACGACCGAGCCCCTTTTGAAAAGCAAGTGTTCCTTATTCATGCCGCTCACTGCAACGCACGCAGCGTGCCTTTGATGCAAGTCCCCCTGCCTCCTCCCTACACATCTGGCAGGGCGGCGACGGGTGCAAACCTTGCGCCCACGGGGCACCGACAGCCGCCGAGCGAGGGTGCGACTTCTTCTCCTATGGCGCGAGAGGCGACGAGCGGCCGAGCAGCTCTAAGGCTGGCTCAACGAGAGCACCCTGCTCAAACTCAGGGGCCTTGAGCGTAGCAGCTACTTCAGGGGGCCACATGCGAACCCTACCCCTACCCCCTCAGAAATCGTGGGGGGTAGGGGTAGGGTTCGCATGTAAGCCCCTATACTTGCTTCCGCTGCCGCATCTCACAGGCCCGCGAGCTCAACTGGTTTGAATCGTGCGCGCAAGAAAAAAGATCATGGGTCCATTTAAAGGCCCCAAGGGCGATACCCATTTGCTGAACCCGTCGCAAACGACACCAAAGCGCTCAAAAGTGGCCAATGATGCATAAAAAAGGGGCTGGCGATCCTCTGCCGCGGGCTGCCTCGCTCGTTCGGCACACCTCTCACGTGTTTGGTGGCCCCATAGGGAGACCCACCGAAGGCCCCAGCGGCGACATTCGCATGCGTTCCCCCCGCCCATTTCGGCATACCTCTCGAGCGTCCCCTGGCCCTATACGGAGCTCCATTGAATGCCCCAATGGCGACGTTCGCATGGCGGCCCCGCTCCATTCCAGCACGCCCCTCAAAATGTTCGTGGCCCCCTATGGACCGCCACCGAAGGCCACAATGGCTGCGCCCGCATGCGCCCCCGCCTCATTTCCGCACGCCGCTTAGACGCCTCGTGGCCCCATAAGTAGACTCACCAAAGGCGATGCCCACAACGGCGATTCCTACAACTGCATATGGTTGGGCCCTTCGCCAGGAATCGTTCTTCTTTCCCTCTGACGGATTGCGCTCGTTTCACAGGCCCCCCCCCCGGACAACGGTAAAGATCGTACCTGGTGGAGGGGGGGGCCCAGCACCCCCCCCCAATCGGCGTGCGGGGGTGCGCGCCCCCCGCAGGCATGGCGCCGTGCTCACAGGCACGGCGCGGTGCTGAGAAACATGCGTTGGTGCTCGCAAACGCGCCGTTGCGTTCGCAAGCTCCCCGCTTGCTGCGGCGCCGATCCTACAGGCATGGAGCGGTGCTGAAAAGGCATGACTCGGTACTCACACGCGTGCTGTGGCGTTTGCAGCCTGTTGCTGTGCGCGTAAGTCGGGCCGGCGTGGGGATGACACTATGCCGATAGCGATGATGCTTACGGCGAGGAGGGAAAAGGATTACACACTGCAACAAGGCGGCGGGACACCCCCGCCCGCGTGCGCTGGTCGGTGGAAGGCCGTCTGAAACATCGGCGGTTGTCTGGCCGTCGTGGGCCTTCCCCGTCGCCACGGCTGGGCGCGGGTCGAAAAGCTGGTCGGCCTGGACCTCCGCAGGGGCCCAGGGACCGATGTCGAGTGAACTTCGGCCGGGCTGGGGGGCCGCCGTTGTCTCTGGGGGATCGTCGCCGCCGCCGCCGCCACCCTTCGCCGGTCGCCGCCACGGCCGCCGCCGCCGCCGCCGCGGTCGTCCTCGTCGTGCGCCGTCGTGCGTCCTCTTCGTCGTCGTCGTGGTCGTCCTCGTTATCGTCGTGATCGCTGTCGCCGCTACGAATCGATAGGGAGGTCAATTAATTCCAATAGACTTCGAACGCCCTTTTCAGATTCGATTTTGGCCCCGACGAGCCCTCCAGGGACGACGACGACGACGACGACGACGACGACGACGACGACGACGACGACGACGGCGACGGAAGTGAGGCATTGTGGTGCACGCAGATGGTGCGGCGCACGCATGCGCTGTGGTGCGCGCTATCGTTGTCGTCCTCGCCACCCTCGTCGTCGTCGTCGTCCTCCTCCTCCTCCTCCTTCTCCTTCTCCTCCTCCTCCTCCTCCTCCTCCTCCTCCTCCTCCTCCTCCTCCTCCCCATCGTCGTTGTCGTGCTGTCGCTGTCGGTCGTCGTCGTTGTCTTTGCAGTGTTGAAGCGCATTGTGGTCGGTCGCAGGCCGCTGCGGTGCTCGCAAGCGCCATGCCGGTGCTCCCAGGCTTGCACATGTGATCGATTCGTGTACCACTGTTGCGTTCGCAAGCACGCCTGGCGCTCGCGCGCATACGATGGCGATCACACAGTGGCAGCGCGCCCCGACGCGCCCCACCCCGCTTAAGCGCGACCTTTACCCGGGGTCCCAAGCCCCCCCCCCGGTAACGACCATTATCTAGGCGCGCCCCCGCTGCCAGCTTCGCGCGCCAGCTTTGCGGACTCAAAGCGAGGACCTCACACCTCAGGACAGTTGGGAATGAGTGCAGCAAGAAGCGGTACACAATGACTATTTGAATGAAGCCGTTTATCTTATTATTTTTCATGAAAAACAAAACGAACAAAGCGAACAAAACTAAGAAAACGAGTAAAACAAATGAAACGAATAAAACGAAAAGAATAAATGAAACAGACAAATCATAATAAATGCTGCAAATAAGAAACAAACTAGAAAACATTGAATAAAACGTTGTCATGTCGTTTTCACGCATGTTCAATTATGAACTCGTTGCGAACAGTGATCATTGATTTTGAGACCTTTGAATCATGCCACATGGCGCCACATACCATGCCACGATGGAGCCCCTCAGGACCTACCCCAGCTAGGTCTGGGACCAGCGAGTCCCGTTGGGTAGATTGCAGCGGGCCTGGCAGACCCTCAAGAATAAGGTTCAGGAGAAGATGTCTTAGGCTGGCGTCCGTGGGCCCCTGGAGGTTCGATGGCCCAGTTTAGATCGTTGTGGATGGGGCACGCAGCCCAAGACTCCAATCGTGGAAGACCAGGGCCTAGTCATCGATCTCTTGCAGGCGCCTCCTAAGTCGGCACGCGAACTGGCACGCCAAGGAGTTTAGGGTTGGCATGCTAGGAGAATACTGGAGCACCACCGAGATGGTTGCACAGGTAATGAGAAGATCTGACTCCGCATCCTGGGCGAGTACTTGGGTGTAGCCAAGGCGGTCGTCAGGCACCCTGGATGTGGGCTGGGGGCATTTGGACCCTAGATTGCCAGCACCAGTCAGGGTATAACATGCCTGTTGCGTGCCCTGGTGTGGGGGGCCGCTCGCACCAAGCTGGGACATGATTTGTTTGACCGCGCCTGCTCTTATGTCGACACGAATGACGAGGACCCCGTGTGGGACCCCAAGTTGGCGAGAAAAAAATGTCCAAGGGCTTGCTGGCCCAGACTAGGATAATTTAATGCGTGTATATGTCTGCCGTTATACCCACAGTCCCACCAGCCCTCTGGGCGTAGGTGGTTTAATGGAGTTCGCCGTCTCTCCTTTCCAAAACCCCTACTTCCCCTGCTCGGGGCAGCGGTTTATCACTGTTCCCTATTAATATACACCCCCTCACCCAGGCGACTGGGAGCCAACCCGCGCCAATGAGGGCCCCCCCCACCATCCCTTGCACAACAACACTACAAAACACACTCTGCCTCCAAATTCGGAGCATGCGCAGCGAACCCGCCATCCCTGTCAAAAAACAATACAGAATACACTTGGCGGCGGCGGCGGCGGCGGCTGCGGCGGGGGCAGCGGCTGCGGCGGCTGCGGCGGCGCCGGCGGCGGCGGCGGCGGCGGCGGCGGGCGGCGCGGCGGCGGCGGCGGCGGCGGCGGCGGCGGCGGCGGCGGCGGCGCGGCGGCGGCGGCGGCGCGCGGCGGCGGCAGCGGCGGCTGCGCGGCGACGGCGGCAGCGGCGGCGGCGGCGGCGGCGCGGCGGCGGCGGCGGCGGCGGCGGCGGGCGGCGGCGACGGCGGCGGAGGCGGCGGCAGCGGCGGGGTGACCCCCAGTAGCTGCCCATCCAAAGACGACTGCTGAATATGCTGCGGCTCGGGCCAGGCTCGGGTGCTACGTATGTGTTGGGAGGGCGGGTGAGAGTGAGCGAGACGGCTTGCGGGCGGGGAGGGCGTCTTGACTCCTCTCCCTACCCCTCCCCTGGGCCGTGGAGGGGTGGGGGGCGCTGGTAGTTAGAGCGCCCAAGATGGCCCAAGATGGCTCCAAGAGGGCCCCCGGGAGCCCACGATGGCCTCCAAGATGGCTCAAGATACCTCAAGATGGTTCAAGATAGCCCCCGACACACATCCAAGAGGCCTCAAGACGGTCCCAAGACGCTTTCAAGTGCCATCCGAGCCCTCCAAGGACCACGCCCCCCAGCAGGCCCAACTCCTCCAAACCTCTAGGGAAGTCAATGTGGTTGGCCTTCTCGCATGTTCGCTCCCGGTGGGCGCTTGGGGCCTCAAGATGGCCCCAAGAGAAGCCCAAGAGGGCCCAAAGAGGGCCCAACAAGCGCCCAAGAGAGCTCCAAGAGCGGCCCGAGAGGGCCCAGGAATCTTTGTTTGAGCCTCCGAGGGGGGTGCTGAGCGCAGTGGGGTCCAAGAAGCCACGGTTACCATTTGCCCCCCCCTCCCCCCCTTTTGAGCCATGGGGCCCAAGAGGCCAATAAGCCTCCCAGACCCCTCCAAGGAGCCCCAAAGAGGGCTCCAAGACCCCCAAAATGAGCGCCAAGAAGGCCCCAAGAGTGTCCCAAGAGGCCCCACAGGAGGGGGCCCTCAGAGAGCCCCTAAGTTGGCCTTCCTCGTCCTTCAAGACCCTCTCACAACAACATGCCTTTAAAGCCCGACTTCCTATTCTCCTTGTCGTCGTCCGTCCCGTCCCTCCTCCTCCTCCTCCTCCTCCTCCTCCTCCTCCTCCTCCTCCTCCTCCTCCGCCTCCTCCTCCTCCTCCTCCTCCTCTTCCTCACTATCCTCCTCCTCCTCCTCCTCCTCCTCCTCCTCCTCCTCCTCCTCCACCTCCTCCTCCTCCTCCTCCTCCCCTCCTCCTCCTCCTCCTCCTCCTCCTCCTCCTCCTCCTCCTCCTCCTCCTCCTCCTCCTCCTCCTCCTCCTCCTCCTCCTCTCTCCTCCTCCTCCTCCTCCTCCTCCTCCTCCTCCTCCTCCTCCTCCTCCTCCTCCTCCTCCTCCTCCTCCTCCTCCTCCTCCCTCCCTCCCTCCCTCCCTCCCTCCCTCCCTCCTCCCTCCCTCCCTCCCTCCCTCCCTCCCTCCCTCCCTCCCCCCTCCCTCCCTCCCTCCCTCCCTCCCTCCTCCCTCCCTCCCTCCTCCTCCCTCCTCCTCCTCCTCCTCCTCCTCCCTCCTCCTCCTCCTCCTCCTCCTCCTCCTCCTCCTCCTCCTCCTCCTCCTCCTCTCTCCCTCCTCCTCCTCCTCCTCCTCCTCCTCCTCCTCCTCCTCCTCCTCCTCCTCCTCCTCCTCCTCCTCCTCCTCCTCCTCCTCCTCCCTCCTCCTCCTCCTCCTCCTCCTCCTCCTCCTCCTCCTCCTCTCCTCCTCCTCCTCCTCCTCCTCCTCCTCCTCCTCCTCCTCCTCCTCCTCCTCCTCCTCCTCCTCCGTCCCTCCTCCTCCTCCTCCTCCTCGTTTTCCTCTCCTCCTCCGCTTTTTCCTCCTCCCTCCTCCTCCTCCTCCGCCTCCTTCTCCTCCTCTTGTTCCTCCTCCTCCCTTTTTCCTCCTCCTCCTCCTCCTCCTCCTCCTCCTCCTCCTCCTCCTCCTCCTCCTCCTCCCGCTCTGTACCCCCCAAGATAGTCCCAGAAGGTCGAGCTCCAGGTAGCACCCCCAGATACCTCCAAGAGGCCTCAAGATAGCCACAAGGCGGTCCAAGATAGGTGAGCATGGCTCAGGGTAGCCTCCGACAGCCTCTGGCCAAACATTGCTCACGATAGCCTCCAAGAGGCCTCAAAAAAGCATCCGATCGTGTCTGGATGGGCTGGTGGGGATACGCGAGGCATCAATACTTTCCTTCCAGGGTCTCCACGGGGCTTGAGGTGAAGCTGTGGGGTGATTGCTGCTCGGAAAGAGCTGGGCGGCCCTCACTTGTGTACACTGATGGGTCTGGACTGGCCCCGTCATGGCCAGAGTTGGGACGATGTGGCTGGGGGTATGTCAGCTGGGAGGTAATAAACTTTCTACCCGAGCTGCGCATGGGCCCCGCGAAGGACCCATCCAGACAGTAGGACCGGCTGAACGTGCAGCGCTGCTCGCGGCAATCGGATTGCTCCCGCAGGTGTCCCTGGCCGTCTCGGATCTGGATTCGTTCGCGGCGGCAGGAAAGGAGTGGCACGAAGTCCACTCTGACGGCAAGGCGCAGTATGCTGATTCCTGGAGGAGCATATACGCCTCCATGCAGGGGCGGGCAGCGCCCAAATCTTATTGGTGTTCAGCTCACACAGAAGCGGAGGAGTTCGTTTTGAGCGCCCAGCATCCTCGGGAGTACTACCTCGGGAAAGCCTGTGCGGACAGGTTTGCGACATGGAGGCGATGACTCACGAGCTTGCGGATACGTTGAAGGAGCCCTTCTGTCGGATGCTATGCTGCAGGCGCGCGTCTATTATTGCACTAGCTGCTCATGAAGTGGCGCCTGAGTGTGGCGTAGCTGGCGATGAGGCGGTCTCGGTTCGTGAAGGGGTGTTGGTGCCCGCTGAAGCTATTGTCGAGCTTCACAGGCACCGAGTGTTGATGACCCCCGCAGCCATGGTCTGCACCAGATGTGGCTCGTACCAGGCGAGCCTGGGTAGAGTGGCCAATTGCAGGCCAAGGCTAGTGTGCTGGCCCCGCCGAGCGTGGCCCCGCCAGGTACAGACATAATCACAAGATTGCCCCCAGTCGGGCTTGCCCCTTGATGTTTGACCGTTCTACATATTCTAGGCGCTTCGCGTCTCACCTCCTCGCTTGATTCATTCGGTTGGGCTGCCAGTGAGATGGCCCGTGCTCCCGTCCTTCGATTGCACGACTCGGTCAGCCTGGTGTTCCTCCTCATCATCATCCTCCTCCTCCGTCTCCTCCTCCTCCCTCCTCCCTCCTCGCTCCTCCCTCCTCCGTTCTCTCTTGTCCTCCTCCTCCTGCAACTCCTTCCCTACCTCCCGCCCTCCCTCCTTTCCTCCCTATTTCCTCCTTATTCCTGCACCTTCCTGCTTCGCAGCCCAAACAAAAGGGGACGAATCCTTCCCCCGGGAACGCACATTCAGTCTGCTTCACGTCAACAAACGCACAGACTCAGACATCCCACTTCCAAATCAGAACCCCAATTCGTCCACCCACAGTGAGACTTCTGCAAACATGTTGGGCAAGTAATGGCCACGAACTCGGAGCCGCCTCTCAGAAGGGTCATCATCACCATCATCATCATCATCATCATCATCATCATCATCATCATCATCATCATCATCATCATCATCATCATCATCAGCAACACCATCATCATCATCATCAGCATCATCATCATCATCATCATCATTATCATCATCATCATCATCATCATCATCATCATCATCATCATCATCAGTATCATCATCATCATCAGCAGCAGCATCATCATCATCATCAGCATCAGCATCATCATCATCATCAGCATCAGCATCATCATCATCATCATCATCATCATCAGCATCATCGTCATCATCAGCAGCAGCAGCAGCATCACCATCATCATCATCATCATCATCGTCAGCAGCAGAAGCAGCAGCGGCATCAGCATCAGCAGCATCCTCAGCATCAGCACCATCACCATCAGCATCAGCATCATAATCAGCATCAGCATCAGCATCATCATCATCATTGGCATCATCATCATAATCAGCATCATCAGCTTCAGCATCATCATCATCATCATCATCATCATCATCATCATCATCATCATCATCATCATCATCATCATCATCACCATCACCATCACCATCGTCATCATCATCACCATCCTCATCATCATCATCAGCAGCAGAATCTGTATCAGCATCAGCATCATCATCATCATAATAATCATCATCAGTATCATCACCATACTCATCATCATCAACATTATCAACATCATCATCGTATGCCTCCTCCTCGTCCTCCTCCATCGTCTCATTCATGTTCCTCCTTTCTCCATCCTTCTCTTCCTCCTCCTCCTCCTCCTCCTCCTCCTCCTCCTCCTCTTTCTCCTCCTCCTCCTCCTCCTCTTCATCCTCCTCCTCCTCCTCCACCTCCTCCTCACCCTTCTCCTCTTCCACCTCCTACCCTCCGCCTCCTCCTGCTCCCCCTTGCCCACATGACTCCTCGGAGGGGGGCGGAGGACGGCTGGAGTCGAGGGCGGCACCCGGGGGGTCGCCGGCCTGGGAACGAGGCGGCGCAGGTCGAGGCCGCAGGCGATCTGGTTGACCGCCTGAGCGCCAGAAGGCTCTGGTTTCTATCCGCTCTCGCTCTCGCTCTCTCGCTCTCTCTCTCTCTCTCTCGCTCTTTGTGTTTCTCTCTCTCTCTCTCTCTCTCTTTGTGATTCTCTCTCTCTCTCTTTTTCTCCCTCTCTCTCTCTCCCTCTCTCTCTCTCTCTCTCTCTCTCTCTCTCTCTCTCTCTTTCTAGAGAGAGAGAGAGGGAGAGAGCGGCCGTCCAGAAATAATCAGGCAGCGAGCGACGACTGGCCGGAGCGTGCAGTGAACTGCCAGATGCACTGCGCTGGCGGGCGAGGGCGAGCTCGCCCGCCTCCGAGCGGTGCGGAAAGATGGCTACGCCTTCCTCCCCCTTGCGCGTAGAAGAAAAAGAACAACTTCCTCTCTGAAAAACCTCCTCCTCCTCCTCCTCCTCCTCCGCCTCCTCCTCCCTCCTCCTCCTCCTCCTCCTCCTCCTCCTCCTCCTCCTCCTCCTCCTCCTCCTCCTCCTCCTCCTCACGCTAGGTCCGCGCCCCCGACGCTCCCAAAGGGCCCCCCGCCAACGCCGCAGGAGCGCGGCCCCAGGCGCTTGCTCCCCGGGCGGCTCCCCGAGCGCTCCCAGGCGCCGGAGACGTCCCACGGCTTTCCCAAACGCTCCAGGAGTGCCCACAAGCGCTCCTCGGCGGCCCCAGGCGCTCCCGGGGATTCCCAGACGTTCCCGTTCCCACACGCCCAGACGCTTCCAGGCAATCCCAAGCGGCCGCAGCCAGGCGCTCACGAGGCAGCCCCAGGAGGCCCCAAACGCTCCCAGACGCCCCCACTCACTCGCTGGCGGTCCCCGGCGCTCCCGGAGCGCCCAAGCGATCCCAGGAAGCCCCGGGCGCTGCCAGACGCTTCTTCCAGACGCTGCCAGACGCCCCCAGACGCTCCCCGAGAAATCCCACACGCTCCGCGAGCGCCCGAGCGCACCCGGGCGCCCCCTGCCGCTCCCCAGGCGCTCCCCAAGCGCCCCCTGAGTTCCTCAAGCGCTCGCAAGCGCTCCCGCGACGGCCCCAGGCGCTCCCAAGCGCCCCCAGACGGCCCGGGAGCGCCCAAGCGCTCCCTGGGCGGCCCCAGGCGCCCCAAGAGGTTTCAAAAGCCGCGGGGAGCTCCAAGGAGCACCAGGAAGCCCCAGAAGCCCCAGCAATCGAAGGCCCCAAGACGCTCCAGGCAGCCTCACTGAAGCACCAGGGGGCGCACGGGCAGCACTCCCAAGTTGCCGGGAAGCCTCAGAGAGTGCCCGGGAAACTCGGGGAGCCACAGGGCCTCCCAGGAAGCACCAGGAGGAAGAGTCAGGAACCCAGACATCCGACGTCTCGATTTTTTCGAGACGCGGGCCCCTGACCTCCCGACCACTTCCCTGGGACCGGTTTTTCATCCCGGGTCGTTTTTTGACGGTCCCGAGGACCGGCGAGGGCCCCGAAAGGCCAAAAACTATGAAAAACCTCTGTCTCGATTTTGTTCGAGACGCAAGCTTTGGGAGGCCCCTCGAGGCCAGAGGAAGTTCCGGGCCCCCCGCGCCATCGAGCGCTGACCGCTCGCGCGGGGAAGCTGCCCGGCGCCACGCGCCGACCCCCGCGCGAGCATTTGCGCTCCGAGGCCCTCGCCGCCGCGGCCTGCGCGAGTCCTCCCCCCGCGCGCGCGAGCGCCACGCAGCTGCGCGAGGAGACAGCTCCCCTGACCTTCCAGGAGGGCAAAAAAAAGCACCCGACTCAAACACCGATCCCGAGGCTCTTCTACATCTTGGCTTGAGGCTGTTTCGCTCAGCTGTTTAGGTTTTTAGGTCTCCAGTGCTAAAAAATGGCTCTCTGGAAGGTCAGGGTCGGCGCCCTGCGCCGACACCCGCGCGAAGACCGCGCGCTGAAACCGCCGGCGGCGCGACGCGCGCGCCCTCCTCGCCCGCGCGCTCGGGGGCTGCCCAGTCGCGCGAAGCGTCTGCCCGGCGCAGCGCCCCGGCCCCGGCGCGAGCACCTGCGTTCCAGGTCGCCGACGCGACGCGCGAGTCCTCGCCTGCGCGCGCGGGCGCAACAGAGTCGCGCGAGGAGGCTCCGCGGCGCGGCGCGTCGACGCCCGCGTGGAAAATCGCGCGCCGAGACCGCCGCCGACACGACGCGCGAGTCGAGAAAGCCATCGAGTTTCTCCTCATGCAGACCTCGCCACCTGCTCGGCGGTCGCGCTGCGATGAACCGGCATGCGCGGCGTCGTTCGTCGTTTGCAGGTCGTCGTCGTCGTCCGCCGTCCGTCCTTCGTCGCCAGCCGTCGTCCTGGCATCCGTTCGCTGTTCGTCCTTCGTCGTTCGTCTTCGTCTTCGTCGTCGTTCGTCGCCCGTCGCCCGTCGTTCGTCGCTCGGCGTTCGTCGCCCCTTTGTGACCTACGCCCGCTGGGAGGGCGACGCGCGCCACCTTCCCGCTGTTGCGGGGGGCGGCGCAGAAGCGGGGGCGAGAAAGCGCGCTCTCGGGCACAGCCGAGGCCGGGCGCGCGGGCCGGGGCGCGAGGGTGTGCGAGCGCGCACTCACGCACCCCACCGACGCGGCGCGCGAGGTCCTCCTCTGCGCGCGCGAGCGCTACCCAGTCGCGCGAAGAAGCAGCTCGGCGCCCTCTGCCGACCCCCGCGCGAACACCGCGCGCTGAGACCGCTGGCGACGCGACGCGCGCGTCCTCGTCCGCGCGCTGGAGAGCTGCCCGGTCGCGCGAAGTGCCAGCCCAGCCCAGCGCCCGACCCCAGCGCGAGCACTTGCGTTCCAAGTCGCTGACGCGACGCGCGGGCGCGCGAGCGCTACACAGTCGCGCGAGGAGGCCGCTCGGCGCCGCGCGCCGACGCCCGCGCGAGGTCGTTCGTCGTCTTCGTCGTCCTCGTCATCGTTCGTCGCCCGTTTGTGATCGTACGGCGTTCGTCGTTCGTCGCCCCTTTGTGATCTACACCCGCTGGGAGTGCGACGCACATCACCTTCCCCCTTTCTAAGGGGGCGGCGCAGGGGTGGAGGCGAGGGAGCTCGCTCTCGGGCGCAGCCGAGGCAAAATGGGCGGGCTGGGACACCAGCATCGCGAGCGCGCACCAACGCATCACACCCCCATCAATCATTTTAAAGGGGTGGGATGCGTGCGCGCATTTCTCGTAAGCTCTTTCTCTCTCTCTCTCTCTCTCTCTCTCTCTCGTTCTCTTTATATTTCTCTATGTATGTATTGTGTGTGTGTTTCTTTCTATCTCTCTCTCTCTCTCTCTTTCTTTCTTTCTCTCTCTCTCTCTCTCTCTATCTCTCTCTCTCTCTCTCAGTATATGTGTGTCTGTCTGTCTAAGCACATCGTCTTCGGCACCGCCTGTTCCCGAGGTTTTGCCTCCTCCTGGCCTTGACGCGAGGCCCCTCCTTCTGTCCCCCCTCTGTTAATTCAAGCTTCGCGCGGCCCGCTTAGCTTCGACCGGAAGAGGTGCGCTCTCGACCTGCGAATCAAAAGTGTCTGTCTGTCTCTCTCTCTCTCGCTCTCTTCCTCTCGCTCTCTCTTCCTCGCTCTCCCTCTCTCTATCTCTCCCTTGCTCTCTCTCTCTCTCTATCTTTCTCTCTTTCTCCTGCTGCTGAGCGCATCGTCGTGGCATGTTCTTGTTCCCTGCCCTCCTGTTCCCAGTAACCCTTTGGATGCTTATAGGCTGGATGCCCCTGGGCGCGCAGGATGACCTCGCCTCGTCCTGTGCGCACCCGCTGCAATCGCCGCTCTAAACACCCGCCGATGCGGTGGTTGTTCAGGAGGTCTCGCCCACCTCCCCAGCGGTAGCTTTCGTCCTGGACCAATGTTCGGGCGTTTGTAAACATGTATGGGTTCCCTCCACCCCATCTACCTCCTCCGCACCCGGGCAACGACAAGTGACCACGGTTACCGTTGCGAGTCTGTTTCCCGTGCATGTGTTCCGGACAGCTGGCGCGGTTGAGCAGACGGAGAGGAGAGATGTGGGCACGCGTAAACGCTGCCGAGAGGCCCTGCGCATACTGGGCAGACGGTTTCGCGCGCGGTTGCCCTGGCGCCGAAAGCCCATGTCCCGTGCCCAGCACCGCCCGCCGCTGGGGGAACGGCCTTGTCCGAAACGCAGATGCCGACAGAGCGAACTCGCCCATTGGTGCCAACCAGAACAGCCGAATGTATGGGGAAATGTTGACTACCGATCGCGGAGATTAGCGGTCACTCACAGTCGGCACTGTCGCCAACCACATGACTACTGTTGGGGGAGACTCGGACAGGGAAGGCTCTGTCGGAGTCCTGACTCGCGGACTCCAGCTTCGCCTGGGGATGTCAAGCCGGGGGTGGCTGAGCTTCCCGAAGAAGGGGTCTTGGAAATGCATCCCTCTGGCCGCGACGCCCGTCGGCGCCAGGGCAACAACGCTTACGGACAGCGCGGAGCGGATCAAAAAGTGTTACCGCGTTTCTGTTCCAGGACAACACTGAAATTCTCATCAGTGGTCCAATCATCTCGCCCTTTCAAGGAATGAGGCCTCTCAAGTAAACGATGATACTCACTTCAGGGAGTGAGGAATCATCCCCCATCCCTCTCCAACAATCTCCTCACTCCCCCGCCCGCTCAGTCACTCCCGTTCGCCCCCACTCGCTCCCCACACTCCCCTTTAGTGGTCTCCAGAAACCCTGCATCAAACAAGAATGCTATCTCCTGGAGGGCCGAATTTTACTTCCGCCGGCGTTCGCCGGCCTTCCGCCAGGGAAGAGATGCCAACCTCTCGATCCCTCGAAGGCGAAATCCTTTCTGGAGCGCTCCATATCGCCCTCTCCGTCCCCCCATCAAGCTTACCCCTCCGTCTCCGAGCGGAGGAAAGGCCAGCAGAGGGAGCCCACGGCGGCCTGCAGCAGAGCGCCTGCTTCGGTTGCGGCCTCGGCGGTAGCAGCACTGGGCGCCGATGGATCCTTGCAGGTGCCCTCGGCGTCCGCCAGTGGCACCTCGCTGTCCTCCTCATCCTCATCCTCATCCTCGTTTTATTCCTCCTCCTCCTCCGCCTCCTCCTCCTCCTCCTCCGCCTCCTCCTCCTCCTCCTCCTCCTCCTCCTCCCTCCTCCCTCCTCCCTCCTCCCTCCTCCCTCCTCCCTCCACCCTCCTCCCTCCTCCTCCTCCTCCTCCTCCTCCTCCGCCTCCTCCTCCTCCTCCTCCTCCTTGTCCTCCTTCTCCTCTTCTCCCCCCCCCCTACAAAAAGATGGTACCAGGAGGTCGAGCATGGCTCCAGGTAGCACCCGCACAGACCTCCAAGAGGCCTCAAGACAGCCACAACACCGTCCAAGATAGCCCTGCCACACCACTGACGTGTCGGTAGAGCGGACTGGGCGTTTCGCCTGAAGCTTCGTCACCAGGTATGACCCGTAAGTTTGGACTGTGCAACATCTTCACTAATGAAAAGCGGGTCGCTTTCAAAATGTAGCTCTCGCCGTAGCACCGCGCACATTCGCCTCAAAAAACGCAACAGTTTCAAAAACGGAGAGTGGCTCCGTTAAAACATTGGCGCTCTATCCCTAGCGCCGCGCAGCACAGCAACGTCAAGGATCCGTAAAGTTGGAGACTCAGGAATGCTGGTCTGGCACGATTGAGGAGTATCACAACGAAACAGTCGCATTGATTCGAGACGTTGACGTTCCAGGAACGGTGTTCTGCCTCGAAGTAGACTTGTCACGACGGAACAGTGACGTTGATTCGCGGTGTTGAAATCCCAAGAACACCTATGTGGCACGATTGGGGATTCTCGGACGGCTGTCTTTCAATGAAGTACTTTCCGCAGTGAGAACACATTCATGTACAAACCAACGACGTACCCAACCCTTTTCATACACGACGACAAGGGCTCCTGCTCGATACTTCTGCACGATTTACTCCGGGAGCGCTTGGCCAGGAAGGCCCCCGAACTCAGAAACGGCGCTCTCGCTCGAGACTTCCTCGCGATTCAATCAAGTTGGTGGAGGCCCAACTACGACGACAAGGGCTCTCGTTCGATACTTGCTCAAGATGTATTCGCAGAGGTCCTTGCCAGAGAGGCCCCCGAACTCAAGAGTGGCGCACTCGCTCGAGATCTTCTCATAATTCAAGCAAGTTGGTGGAGGCCCAGACATGGCGACAAGGGCTCCCGTTCGATATTTCTCCATCTGTATTCCGAGAGCCCCTGGCCTGACCAGAAAGGCCCCCGAACTCAGGAACGGCGCTCTCGCTCGAGAGTTCCTCGCACTACAGTCAGTGGCCGACAAGGAAGACATTCCCCCCGAAAGGGGGTGCGATAGAAGACGAAGGTGCGGGTATCGAGGGTTGGGGTATACAGAATGCACAACACGCGTGCCAGCAAGAGCGAACAATTTCAAAATGATCGTTGTTATTATCGTCAACGTCGTCATCGTCGTCATCATCGTCGTCGTAACTGTCAGTCCTAAGGAAATCAAGAAACACGGAAAATTGAAGGACGTCGTAGTTAAGTCGAAAGGAACCCCTTCCCTTTGATCCCTTCCCTGTCGGGGAGGGGGGCCCAGAGGAAGTTCTGGGGGGGTCCCAGGGGGGTTGGCGGGGAAGTTCCGGGGGGCTCCCAGGGGGGTTGGGGGGGGTCCCAGGTCAGAATAGCATCCCCTGGGAGGTCCCCGAGCCCGAAAAGTCCCCCAACGGGCCAAGAGTGCCCCAAGAGGCCGCCAAGACAGTCCAAGAGGGCCACGGATCGCCGAACGAGCGGTCCAAGACGCCGAAGGCAACCTCCAGACAGCCCAAGAGGCCTCCAAGACGCCCCAAGAGGCCTCCAAGAGCACCCCCACGAGGGCCCCACGAGGCAAACTTCATCGATTTTCGATCAGTCTTTGTCAGATTTTGGCGGTTCTCACCTTTTTGGCTCCTGGTCGCTCCAAGACGGCCCAGGAGGCCCCAAAGATCGCCCCAAGACGCAAGACGGCCGCCAGGAAGCCCCAAGAGGCTCCCAAGAGGCTCCCAAGAGGCTCCCAAGAGTCCCCCAAGTGACTCCCAAAAGGCTCTAAAGCTGATCCCCAGAGGCCCCCGAGAGCGCTCCGAAGAGACCCCCAGAAGCATCCCTGAGAACTCTGCCCCACGTCAGCGTCGTCGTCGTCGCCGCCGCCGCCGTCGTCGTCGTTGTCGTCCCCCTTCAGTGTCGGCTGCGCCGGCCGCAAGGCCTTTTCAATATCAACTCAAACTCACCATGATCATCATCGTCATCGTCATCAGCAGCACCATCATACTCATCCTCATAATCCTCATAATCATCATCATCATCATCATCATCATCATCATCATCATCATCATCATCACCACCACCATCATCATCATCATCATCATCATCACCACCACCACCATCATCATCATCATCATCAGTATCATCATCAACAACATCATCATCAGCATCATCATCATCAGCAGCAGCATCGTCATCATCATCATCATCATCATCATCCTCATCCTCATCATCATCATCATCAGCATCATCATAAGCATCATTAGCAGCAGCACCACCACCGTCATCATCATCAGCATCATCAGCATCGTCATAATCATCAGCATCATCAGCATCATCGTCATCATCATCAGTGAAGGCATCAGCATCAGCATCAGCATCAGCATCAGCACCAGCATCATCGTCATTGTCATCGTCATCGTCATCACCAACAACATCAGCATCATCATCGTCAGCATCATCGTCAATATCACCGTCATCATCATCGTCGACACCATCGTAATCATCACCGTCACCAGTATCATCACCACCACTATCACCATCTTACCATCATCAACAACAGCATCATCCATCTTCATCAAACAGCATGATCATCATCATCAGCCTCATCCTCATCCTCATCATCAGCATCCACATTATCCGAATCATCACCGTCACCATCACCATCACTATCCACATCGTCGTCGTCGCCGCGGTCATCGTCGTCGTTAGCATCTGCATCATCAGATTCGTCATCATCATCATCATCATCATCATCATCATCATCATCATCATCATCATCATCATCGTCATCATCATCAGCATCAGCATCATCATCATCATCAGCATCATCATCAGCATCATCATCACAATCCTCGTCCGACCCAATTCCTTCTCCTCGTCCTCCGCGTCTGAGGCCGAATCTGAGTCCGAGCCCTAGCCTGCGCCCGAGTCTGGATCCGCGCCTGAGCTTGCTGTTGGGGCCCGTACCAGAGCACAGCTCCAGGTCTTCATCCCAATCTGCGCCCGAGCCTGTATCCCGAATGGTCATGCGGCGTGTACGGAGACGCCAGGTAGCGATTCGCGCCGGAACCCTCAAAGCTGCACCAGTAAACAGTGAACACGAGAACTGGAGGGCTGCAAAGGCGGTAAGGCAGATGGGTGAACCGAGCCCATTTTCCATGGGCTCGTTCAGGGTTGAAGGAAACAAGTTCGGCCAACGGCCTGTGATCGAATCCCTCTTGAAACATTCCAGCACACGATACACCGATCACCACAAGAGAGCTATCGCTGCCAGACCAAGTGCCCTCGACCAGCAGCAAGCCCGTCCGATTAAAAACGGCAACGCCAGGGCGGATCAGGCCCACCCGTGACCCAGTTGGTAATTGCAGAGAAGAGGAGGAGGAGGAGGAGGAGGAGGAGGAGGAGGAGGAGGAGGAGGAGAAGGAGGAGCAGGAGCAGGAGGAGGGGGAGGAGAAGGAGAAGGAGAAGGAGGAGGAGGAGGAGAAGGAGGAGGAGGAGGAGGAGGAGGAGGAGGGTCAGCGTCGAGCGAGGAGCGCCGACAACAACGTCGACGAGAGAGAAGGGAGATGTGCCAGTGTGTGCACATGCATCTCGCTGCTCGGCTTCAATGGGGGGACAAGAAGGAATGAGCCCGAGGCCGATGGACCCGAAGGTGCGACTCACTGCGGCGGCAGGCGCCAGACAACTTCCGAGGACGGCCCGCTGACGAGCTCGGCGGGAGAGCCTGAACGCCCTAAGCTCAGCTGAAACAGCGAAGAGTGCAAGTGCACGAAATCCTTGCCAAAACGTGGACTGATTTGAGAACGTGCCGGCGGTCGAGAAATCGTCAAAACCACGCAGCCTCCGACGCACGCAGCGCACTGTCTTGCAACTTCACGGTCATGAGCTGCTAGGCCGATTGTGACATCGCAGTGCGCCGACGCACGCAGCGCACTGTCTTGCAACTCACGGTTAGGATCAAGGGGCCCCAGGACACACAAATAAATACACACAAATTAAAATATTCCACATATTTCCCCATAGCTTCTGGGTGTTTGTCTTCCCCCCCACTTCCCATATTTTCCCATATTTTCCGGGGACTCGAAGATTCATTGTGTCTGTATGTTTTTGTCCCTCCTGACAGGAGCTGTCAGGCCGACTGCGACATCGCCGTGCGCCGATGTGTAAGACTGGCATTTCCAGAGCAGCGCGCTGGCCCATGCCGAAGCGGCAGGCAGAGGGTGGGAGTGTCTCCAGCTCCTCCTCTGTTCTCTCGCTTCCCCGTGCCCTTTTCCCTTCACCACAATATGCCTCGTCCTCCTCCTCCTCCTCCTCCTCCTCCTCCTCCTCCTCCTCCCTCTCTCTCCTCCTCCTCTCCTCCTCCTCCTCCTCCTCCTCCTCCTCCTCCTCCTCCTCCTCCTCCTCCTCCTCCTCCTCCTCCTCCTCCTCCTCCTCCTCCCCCCTCCCCCCTCACCATATCATGCCTCCTCCTTCTCGCATCCCACATCCCCCGTCCAAGAGAAAGCACCCCGTCCTTAACCAGCCTCGAACTTATCCCTATCCCTAAGATTGACACGCCCAAAGGCGATGACAATCTTAGGGATGCGCCCTCAGAAACCGAGGGAATCCCTGAGATCGCCATCGTGATGAGGCGATGCCCAACATAGGGCTAGGGATAGGTTCCAGGCTGGTAAGTCCCCGTGCCCTTCCCATCTTCACCACAATCCTCCTCCTCCTCCTCCTCCTCCTCCTCCTCCTACTCCTCCTCCACCTCCCTCCCTCCCCCTCTCCATGATGCCTGCGTCTCCAATCCCCCCGTCCACATCCCACATCCCCCCCGTCCGAGAGACAGCACCCCGCCCTGGTCCGATCATCCTCCTGCTCCGCTGGCGGGATATCCACGGGGCGCGCCTGGGTCACCTCGCGCTCCCCGAAGGCACCGGCAGCACCGGCGACCACCTCGGCTCGCATGCTCGCTCGAAGAAGGATCTGGTACAGTCGGGGCGTTGACCTAAGGAACCCTAACTAAGGAACGAGGCCCCTTTTTTCCGTAAGTTAACCCTCGATTTCCTGTCGAAAACATGAGGAAAGCCTGCGGCAAGCTGTGAAACACTTAAGGCACGCGGAGCCCCTCCCCAACGAAAAGGGTTCCTTCCTCAGGGCCCCGGCTTTGCCCACAGAGAGCACCCAAAACTGTCTTGCACCAGGAGACGGACGAAAGAGGAACGATGTCAACAGGAAGAGACTGTCTTGCACCGATACGGGATACTGTGCCCACAGAAAGCACCAAAAAGAGACAGACGAAAGAGGAACGATGTCGACCGATACGTTCCGACAGAGAATCATTGGGGAAGCACTGGCTTGCGAACCGTGACGTGTGGGCCTGACAGTCTCCTCAAGCCACAACGTTGCACTGCTGACGCCTGCGATTCATGGAAGCATGTGCTCGAGACGGTGGGAGGCTCAAAGGAAAAGAAGCTAGAAGGACGAATAATAATGACCCCGTCTAGTCAACCACCATCACACCAACTACCCCATCACCCTCCAATCGCCTCCACGTCAAGTCGGTATGGGCAAATTGAACGTGCTCCGCTCTAGCAATGCCCTGCATAAGCCACCTTGATCCTCAGACTCATGCAGGCCCCGTCCTCGGAGATGGCCTCAACGGCAGTCGCTGAGGGTTCATGCAAGCATTTGGAAAGGAGACGAGCGGAAGCTGGGGAGGAAGAAATGAGGAATGAAGGGGGGCCTGTGGACGGAAGAGGGAACATGGAGGGGAGGAAGGGCGGTGAAGGGAGAGCACACGGCGCAACAAGGGATAACCGAAACTAGAAACACGATGCAATGTACAGTGAGGGATGAACGATTCCGACTGCCTACACTCCTGAACCCATCCAGAGCCCAGTCCCTGGTGAACGTGTTGTCCGGGGAGCCGCCGCGAGGAGGCGTGTGCATTGCGTAATCGTTCACCCCTGGACCACCATTGCAACACCAGTACGGAACCAGCATAGAACCACTGGGACCAATCGGCGTTTATTGACATGCCCACCGTTGAACCGCCACTGTAGCAACCATAATACCGAAATGGGGCGTTCGCACGCGCTCGGGGGTCAACGAGATCGGCGACGTAGAACTTGTCATCCAAAGCCACCGCAGACATCCAGGGGAGCCAAATGTCGCGCCGCCGAGCGATCTTTCTCCCAGGACCAGGCCCAAGAGTCATGACAGCCTCGTCATCCTCCACATCCTCCTCCTCCACGCCCTTCGAGTTCATCCGAGGCCAACATATGGCCACGGAAGGCTCCTTTGTTTTCTGCCTGCATTATGGGGTTCAGCCTCCCGTCAGTCCCCTGTGTTACTGGACCGACAAAAGTGCCCTGTGACCTGGACTAGTCGGCTTCGGTCTACGGCCATGAGAACCTAAAGGCCAAGTGCCACCCGCGTACTGGGAGACCCCTCAGCGGTGACACCCACGCGGCCCTGGAGCAGCCGCGATTTCCACATGTTATTTCGTAGCTCCCTCGTAGCTTCGGCGGAGTTATTAAGCCTCGGGTCCTCCTCCTCCTCCTCCTCCTCCTCCTCCTCCTCCTCCTCCTCCTCATTCTTCGCCTCCTCCCTCTCCGCATCCTGTCGCTCCTCCTCCTCCTCCTCCTCCTCCTCCTCCTCCTCCTCCTCATCATCATCATCATCATCATCATCATCATCATCATCATCATCATCATCATCATCATCATCATCATCATCACCTTCTTCATCATCATCATCATCATCATCATCGTCATCATCATCATCCCCCTCCTCTTCCAAATGTTCCCCCAAAAGGTGCCCACAACGGCAGGAGGAACAACAAAAATATAGAATGGCCGTACATTGGCCCAGCGTTGGCCACATGGGCGTTTCCAAAAGCAAGGGGGGCAGCGATTGCTCCTCGCCATAGGTGCCTTCCATAATACATCTGGACACCTGCCGCTGAAGCATTATGGATTATCTTAGACGTTGAGCCCTGTCAGTTGACCAAGCCGATACATTGGTAATGGAATCAGACAGCTGCGATCTATCATGCAGAGTCCGACGAGTAGACAGCTGCAAAACAAGACGTTATGGTTCCAGCATGCAAAAGACGCGTTGCCGGGGAAAGCTGAAGCATTGCAGGCGTCGTCATGGAAAGCGAAGCCTTGCAGGATGCTACCTGTAAGTGTACCCATCAAGCAAAGCAGGGGTTCTCGGCCTAACTCTTTGACATAGGTCGATTCAAGAATGCTCCACGAGAGCTTGATGAATAAACCACAATGCGTGCAAACTTGTCAACATATTTCGCCAGAGCTTTGCACACGAACCCGCGTACCTAGAGAGCCTACGAACATGTGACAGCGCGTAGTCCTCACAGGCCGGATCCTGAGCTAGGTCCCCATTTCCCACCGCGGACGTGGACCGTAGATCTCTCGCGATTGCGCGTCACAGCCGCTCCAAGGTTATCCTCCAGGCTCGCCATCCCAGGGCCGTGGCCATGAAGCCCTGAGCATCGGTGAGGCTGTGCTTGTTCAGGGTGCACCAGTCGCCCTCGTCGTCCTGCACGCCCCCCGGCGGCGGAAAGCAGCTGGAGGGGGCCAAGGCACAGCAGCCCTGCACTGACCGAAGACATGCTTGAACAGAGCGGCTCCTGCTTGGCTTCTAGAGAATTGCCGCCGGCGCGGCACCGATTCCGTTGGTGACTACCCCCGACTAGCCCCTTGCCATGGCGTGGCAGGACATCGGCTGTGGTCCGCAGCCTGCCCCCGACTTGTCCCTTGCCATGGCGTGCCGCGAGTTCGGCCGGCCGCGTCTAACCCCGAGCAGCCCCGGGTGGTTGGCCAAGTGCCATGGTGGGCAACCATCTCTGTCAGCCTCAGCACGCCCTGACTCAACCCCGACTAGCCCGCTGCCCTAATGTGACTCCTGGCCAACCCCTTACCCTGGTGTGGAGGGATTTCGGATGGCCGCGACCGACTAGCTGACAAGCCCTGCTTCAGATGGCGCAAGGTAGGAATGCAAGGCCCCTGCCCTTGGGCGCCAAAGTCGCAACTGACCAGCGAAGTTGGCTGGCTGAGACCGAAACATTGCAAGAGTGCAAGGTGTCCTTGGCAAAGCACCCCATCATTATCGCGAAGGTCAAATGTAATTCCTTGCCCTGCTGCGGTGTGACTAAGACTGCCCGTTGCCAGAACCGCCAGGCCAACTGCTCTGGTGCTGTGGGATTTCGACTGGTCGTGAATACCCCAGATCAACCTCCTGCCCTGACGTGGCAGGACCCCAATGGGCCACGACAAGCCCTGGCCAGCCCTAGCTGGCCGTCCGGACCAGGACACTGCCTCAGTGTAACAGAATTCCCGCTTTCCCCCGCCAGTTCACCACCTGCCCCGAGGATCCCCAACTTGCCAGTTCCCCATGATTCCATGATGCCTCCTGAGGTATCATACATCACCCTCTGTACTACTTTCCAACATTCACGGCTCACGCGCCAACATAATAATGAAGCGCGCCGCACACCCAAGGACAGGGCCGAGAGGATTGCGCATGCAAGCACTGGCAGAAGACAGTAAAGAGAGGAGCCCACGCGGTCGAGCCATCCTTTGAGACTACTACGGAGTCGGGATGGACAAATGTGTTCCCTGACAGCCCCACAAATTTCTCACTGATTTATGTGCGCACGCGTGCTGTTATCATTCCTAGCCGCTCGTGAAGGACTCCGTAAGATGGCGGAGGGACGAAATGCCATGAGCCTGCATGACCAATACAGAAAGGCCGATGGATCGGGGCAGATGAGCGGAAAAGGGGCATAGATGGATAGACGATGGCCAAGCAAGGACAGGAAGACGAGGCAAGAGGACAACGAGAAGGAAGCAGCTGCAGCACCGCGGCAAGTAGGAACAATTAGACTGACTTCAAGCGCCTGTCTTCGTGTGACACTGGGATATGAATGATGTTGCCGCGTGAACCCCAAACAATTCATTTGGAAAACAATGTGTGGAACCCTGTGTGAGCCCATACGTGTGTGGAGCCCGATGTATTGGACTTCCGTGCTCGTGGAATCACACTCGGGGATCCCGACGTGTGTGGAGCCCTGTGCATGTGGAGCTCGATACGTGTGAGATCAAATATGGGGGACCCGATGTGCGGAACCCTATGCGTGGAGCACTCTCTTGTGGAACCCTTTGGTTGGCACCCTACTTCTTCATTGCCCACTGCACCTACGACAGGGTTCAAAGCTACCCGCCGCGCGCTGCAATAACTTCAGACGCAGCCTGCACGCCGTCACTGGGCGCCGTATGCTGGGGCACCCACGCCAGCATTGCCTGTTCCCCTTCCAGGGGCGGCAAACCCCGTAGATGCTACCACACGGGCTGTGCCCTTAGGCCGACGAGGGTGGGAGATGAAGGTGTGTGTGTGTATACGTCTACAGATGTACACTATACAAATACTATATATACACATACATATTTATATATATATATATATATATATATATATCAACATGTATACAGGTAGATGTACCCATACACACATAAATGTGGCCAGTGCCCAGCGCGGAACGAAAATCCCCCCCTCCGGATCGCTCCTCCTGGGGTTTTCGTGCTTGTCGCGCCGCCGGCGCGGTCGGTACGAAAATCCATTGGATGCACGAAAATCCCCCAAGGGGGTTCTGCGCACCGCTGGTGCGGGATGGTACGAAAGCTCCCGAGATGGTCGCGGGGGCGCGTCATCCTTCACCCAATCGTTCTCCTGGTCCTCCTCCTCCTCCTCCTCCTCCTCCTCCTCCTCCTCTTCCTCCTCCTCCTCCTCCTCCTCCTTTTCCTCCTCCTCCTCCTCCTCCTCCTCCTCCTCCTCCTCTTCCTCTCCTCCTCCTCCTCCTCATCCTCCTCCACCTCCCCCTCCTCTCAAGTGGCGGGCCGCCGCCCGCCAGGATCTTTCTGGCCTTGTGCAACCGTAAACTCAAGAGCTCTGCGAACCGAAATGTTAAGTCTGAGCGGGAGAGCGCGGGCAGCGGCACAGGCAGACTAAAGGGGAGGATGGTCGCTGGGGGCACTTCAACACCCGTCCTCGATCATCTGGCTACGTTTTATCAGACAAGGAGCGGCCGATCGTCAAACCGACGTCCGGAACCACATCACACATAGTGGCGCGAAAGCGCCGCGGAAGGTGGGCGGAAGCCCAATAATATCAAGACAATTAGCCATGCTGCGCGCTGTGTTCCAACCTAACGGTGGTTCTGCTCTGTGCGTCGCGGGTTCGACGCTCATCTGCAAGCCGGTGGCGTGCCATCCTCACTGCCTCCTTCGCGGAGGCTGCCCCGGCGGAGACCTGCACACTCACGCAGCCCTGCATCATCGCTTCCGTCAGGTAGCCACGCATTTGCTAGCTGAACCGATGTGTCGCACCACTCCAAATCAACTCCATCATGCGATAGCATCTCCTGTAGGGCTGCGACGACTACTCGTACTCGACGATCCGCAATCTGGCCAGCGTCCGCGAGGAGATGGGTCACCAGGCTGTTGGCATCGTCGAACCACCGGGCTGGGATCAGGGTCGCCGCGTCGTCGACCAGGTCGCCTAATGGCTCATATGGTTTCTGCATCTCGTAGTAGACCGCCCTGCCTGCTCCAGCGCTTCAGCTCGTTTCGTTAGTCCGTGTGCCTCTGCTCCCATCGAGGCTCTACGAACCCTCTTGATCCTCGAGCTGCCCCAGTCGAGGAAGCGCACTGGTCCTTCTTGTTGGTTGTAGAGGCCGTCGTCGGAGAGCAGGCGCACGAAGCCGAGCTGAGACTTCCCCTTCTCGCCAAGCGGGCCGAGGTCGTGATCGCCCACGTTGTTGGAGGTTGCTGTGGGCGAAGAAGACAGCATGTATACAAGGTCTCCATCTGGTCGTAGAGTGTCGTTCCGAAAACGCGCGCTAGGCCGTAGCCGAGAGAGACGCCCATCCGAAGTTGCCTGGGAAGCCATCCGAGTGAGCCAACCACCGATTCTGCGAAACTCCGCCCACCATCCGTAGCCAACGCCATGATCTGCTTCGCTCTGGCCGGGGATATCACCAGAGTCTCAATCTGGTCAATGAAGTGCGCCATGCTGATTTTGATCGCGCAGTCCACGAGCCGCTCGACGTCCTTGCCGTGATGCCGGAAGGGCGGCTTCTCCTCCGTGACTAGCGGTGCCTTGTTGAGCTCGTGCATCGTCTTCTTGCACAGGTCACTGCGGGGGTCGCCGTTTGCAGACAAGTCGCCCACGCAGGAGCCGACGAGCCCGACGAGCTTGCCACCCTCGAACAGGAAGAAGAACGCCCTCTACAAACAGTTATCCTGCCATGCGCGATTGCGCAGCGTCTTCCGTAGCTTACTCCACCACTTCCTGCCGGTGTCCTCGGCGCCGCAAATAGCGCCATGACTGGCGAGAGCCGCGTCAGCTCGAACTCCAGGCGGCAAGGTTGCAGGAGGTCGCAGCACGAGCACCCAGTCAAGGTCATCTCCTCGAAGGCACGCGCTCGCAGCGTCAAGCTTGAAAAGCGGCCGGTGCACTCTGGCCGCCGCGCTGCAGATCACGTGGGAAACCAACGGGGGCTACGTCGGGGAGCCCATCCCCACATGGACCGACTCATAGCAACTGACCGCGGCCAGTCGAGACTTCGCCTTCAGCGGCAATTTCGGGTCGTACTCATTCTTAGTCGTGTAGACCTATCTCGATGGCATCGCCTTGACCCTGCCCAGCAGCTCCTTGGCCTCGTCGCCAGAGACCACGGTCGCCGCCCCGAAGTTGCGCCAGTTCCCCCACTCCTTGGCCATGCTCGCGTCGAGCTGGAGTCTCTCTGTCTTGACGAGGTTCATGAGCTTGATATCCCCCCCTCTGGTCGCGCCAGTCAGCCAGACGTAGCTGATCCAGGCGTGGGAAGAATTGCCCATGTCGCACTCCACCAGGTGGGCCCCAGACGTGGGCCCTCCCCTCCGCCGCCTCGGCGGCGCCCGCTCGGGCCCATGGCCCGGGGAGCCCGGCGGAAACTCGCAAGTCGCGGAGGACCTCGGAGGAGTGATTGGTTCAGGTTGTCCATTATCGCGATCGGTCTCACCCTCGCCAGCTCGACTAGAAACATCATCATTCATCATCATGATCATCATCATCATCATCATCATCATCATCATCATCATCAGCATCATCATCATCATCAGGCACAGGCACATCTTCGCAAGGCACAGGGTCGCGGGGTCACGCTCTGGCACTGGCTCAAGCACGGGGGCCTGCGAGGTGAGATCCTCGCCCTGCCGCGCCTCAGCCGTCTCCGCGCCGCTGTCCCACCCGGGCCCGCGGGCTCAAGCCTCGGTCGGGGCTCCTCGGCTGCCCCCGGCGCCGGGGCGCGACCGCCCGACGGGCGGGGAGCGGCCCCTCCAGCAGCGGCGGCGCTCGTCGCCGCTGTGCTCTGCCCAACAGCTGTGCTTCCCCAAGGAACTCAGGTGCTTCCCCAGGGAACTGAGCAGCTCCCTCCTCGAGGTTCGCGCGTCGAACGTCCAGGAATCCTCGAGGCCCCCGTGATAGAGCAGCGCCTCGCTGGCCCGCTGGCATCTGATCCCACGCAATCAGCTCGTCCTCCGTCACGAACCCCACCTGCCCAGGCCTCGCCAAGATCGCGCCGCCACCGCATCGTAGCCAGATCGCGCGAGGGCTGCCATGGACGGCAGCTGGGCTAAGGGCAGCGTTGACCTCGTCGGCCATCTTGTAGGGATCGCAATGGTCGCGGCCGATCACGCGGGCGACGCCGAACCGCCGGTGGAACAGCGCTGGGGACACGCCGGGCATCGCGCCCCGACGGGAAGGGGCCCCCTAGTAGGGATTGACCTGGCCAGTTTCGCCCTCCTCACTCGGTTGTCGCTATCCATCTTCGCAAAGGCGACACGGGCAGCTTCACGCCGCAGTAGGTTCAAGGCCATAGCGGATTCAGGATCCAGGGCTGCCTCCTGCACGTTCAGCTTCTCCGCCTCGCTATCCTGCAGGACCGATGCGGGAACGCGCGGGCCGAGCGCCCCGAGAACCCAGTTGGACGGTGCGTAGCCGTCGTACATCACTGTCTCGTTGCAAACCTGGTTGATGATCCCACGGAGGGTGCGGAGATCCGGCTCCTCCGTGATCTGCGCGCCCTGCGCCGCTCGATGCAATGCTTCCTTCCATGCTCCACCTAGCTGGTCGATCCTGCCAACCTGCTCGCGGGCCTCCAGCGCGGAGTTCTCTGGCCCGACGCCTATCTCATACATGCGGGGCAGGAACTGCACGCCAAACTCCATGCCGCGGAAAACGAACAGCGACCAGGGTGGCCCACTCCAGCTGGCCCAGACCACGAGGGGAACACGTCCAGCGCGACCTCGGCCGAAGGCGCGCGGGTGCCCCTGTGCAGGTACCAAACCACCTGGAACCGCGCCCCGTCGCACACGATGTTGAGGAACGCGCGCGCGCCGCCCAGGGCGTCGTGGGCGAACGGGGCGCCGAGCATCACATGGAATTGAAACTGGCGGCGCCCTGTCATCCGCGCCCGGCGCGCGTGCTTCGCCTTGATCACGTCGCCGCAGGCGTCGCGCCTGAACTCCCATGCGGCATCCAGAAACTCCTTCTTCGCCCCCGATCGCCTCGGGCACCTCGCCAGCGTCGCGTTGGTAGGGTGGCCGAAGTTCACGCGCAGTCTGCGGGCGTCGCGCCTGACTGCCGGGTCCACGGCAAGCCAGCGCGCGCGTCTCTCCTTCTCCTCAGGGGATCGCGCGGGGTCGAGGTTCGCCGCCGCCTCGGCCCCGGCGCCAGCCGGGTCCACCGCGGGCCCGTCCTCATCTGGAACTCCATATCGCGGTGGCTGGTCGTCTCCAGGCGTCGGACGATTGGCCATCTTCTGCGTACCTCGGAACCGTCGGCGCTTGGTCTCAGGCGGCACCTCCGTCGGGTAACTGCCCATCACGCCGAGCCCCTCGACGACGTGCTGACCCACGTCCATGCCCATGCGTTGCTCGATCGCGCGCAGGGCGAGGCGGTCGAGATCGCCGGGCCCCCATGCCGCAGCCCCCTTATTCTTTGTATTATGATTGTTCTTCTCATTCTTCTTCTCATTCTGGAGTGGCGCGCGGGCGCGCTTGCAATCGCACTTCGCGTCGCGCAGCGCCTCGTAGATCGCGACCGACGCGGCGGGAGGCCTCGCCAGCTCGCAGCGCGGCTCGCGGGCCCCCTCGCCCGCGCATCCGAGCTGGCAGCCGTGGGGCGGGCGCTCGAGCAGCGCGCCCCTCTCCACGAGCTCCCGGGCCCTCTTCATCTCGGGCTCGTCGCAAGCGCGCGG